TTTTTATGAATTTTAATAGATAAAAAGAATTTTAAAATGATTTACGTAAGACTTTAGAATTTATACACATTCATAATACTATTTATGTTAAAATTTTTAAGTCCATGATTATTATGTTACAAAATTTATTAGGACGACGTGATAGAAATAGTTACAATTTGTTGTAAAATAAGTTTCTCATTATTTAGCTGTTTTACTGCTTGCAGGTTTGCGTAACAGTTTCCTAGACACCTCAGTTTCTTGGTACTTTCGAATTTACATCATAGAACGGGGTAATAATCTAAACATTAATATAACACAAGCCTGAGGGGGTTACTCTTACGGTAGGGTTCAGAAAGGAACGTTCAGAGAAAGAAAAATGTCGGCGTGAAAGAAATCATACGATCGTATTTCTGTTTCGATGGTACCCTGCTTATCCTGCTCTCCGTTCCGAAAATTGCGATAGTGGTTTATTAATTTCAATTCACACGTGCACCCATTTCGCAATTAAAAAAAAATCCAATACCCCACCACTGCGTCGTTCTCACCAACCGAAACCCCACTCCAAGACCGAATCTACGCGTCACGTGACCAGGCGCACAATGGCGTCACGATTTAACACTCGATATTCCAACGCCGATTCTCATCGCGACCGGCTTAAACTGGCGAGAAGTGTTTCGAGTCGGTCGTTTGCACGCGCGTATCGTCGCGTCTACGTGGCCGCGACTGCGAAACGGAATATTCGGCGTGTCTGACTGGCCGCAGAAAGGATTTCCAGCCAGTAGGGAAGTTGTTCGGTGTAAACGCGTTACAACTTCCGAAACGGCGCGACCGACCGCCTCGATGGCCCTCAAAACTTGCACACGGTCTCGAACACGGGACGCGATTTAACGGCACGGGACTCGGTTTAACGACACGGGGCGCCGGCGACTCGTTCTTCGAGGACGAAGCACGTACGACCGGCTGACGCGCCGCCATCTTTATTTGGCGCTGGCGTCGCGCTCGATCGACTGAGCGCGCCTCAGAGGACCCGCGATAGCGACGAATTGGGTTCTTAATGGACTTTATGTACCGTGCTAGGTTATACGACCGAGTCTGAGATTTTACTGGGTGCGCGCGTTAGCGTCCTTGTTCGAGCTATGGTTTGTCGCCTACGCAGATTCCTAACCTCTTCGCTTGTTACCTCGAGTCGCGGCTCGTAAATGTAAATATTTCTATTGGTACAAGAATCACGTACTGCGCGTTAGAGAAAAGAAGGCACTGCGTGTGTACATCCTCGCGGTTAATTAACTCCGCTAATACTGTATTGATCACAAGCAGTAATTGACCAAAACGGTAACCGATGATCTTACTCGCGGTTTTCGGCCAATAGGGGTTATTACCTGTGATCATGGAGTGTCAGCGGACCTCGATAGAGACGAGGATGTAGACACGCTATGCCTTCTTTCCGAAGACGCATAGTACATGCGAAAATTGATCACAACAAGACTGGCACACCTTTTCCTAATCCCTGTTATGCCTTCTTTCCTCGAACGCACAATACTTCTAGATATTCCTGTATATACACTGCATATACATTTTTATGGTTTTAGACTGTTATATATTATATATGTACGGTAATATGATAATAAAAAGACAGATATTAGATAATATTCATGAAATTAGACGCGCCTGTTGAGATATATTCGCGGTTCAACGATCTTTAAACAAGATATTCATGAACGTTTCGCGATGAAGATCCCTCAAGGGTGATTGATCAAAAAAGAAACGTCAGGCACACAGGCAAGAAAAATAGTTCTCGTATCCGGTGAATTTTATTGACATTTCCAGGTCGCGAGCCACATATTTGTCAGTCTACCCTTTTTCTGAGATACGAATCTTCCTGGGAAAAATTTCGCGGGTAGATTACAGGGCGTTCTCTTTGCGACGCAGTTGCTTCTATCGCAATGCGCGAACTCGATAATGGAAACTAATTAAAGCCAGGTTCCTGGTTGTTAATTAAAGCGAGAATCGCTCGCGCTATTGTTGCTTGTTGCGGGCGTGTACCTCTTAATTGCAGACATTCAGCTGCGAGCTTTCAGATTTCAATTGCTCGTTCAAAGAAATTTTGAATTGCAGGTAATAAGCAGTTTATGCAAGGCACGGAGTCAAGTAAAATCGGAACTTTTTCCATTTTACGCTTTCTTCGATAACTAGCCTCCGAATTTAATTTTGTAACGCGAAGAAAGCACTTTTTGCAATTTAATAATATTTATTTCGTGGGTATAGATAATTTTGTAAATTTAAGAATCATAAATTTATTTCACACGATTTGCACTTATTATTATACAATTTCGAAGAAAAGAAATTTCATAATTGTATATTATTTTTGGACTTCTTCATTAAGTATTTTAATCTTCCTCGCCTAAGTTTTCTATACTTTCATTAATCGAAAAATTAAGTTTCGTTTGAATTTTTGGGATCAGTTATACAAGAAAATAATCGAAGCTCGTAACGAATAGATTGCTGTACAAAACCATCAAGTTTACACAGGCATGAACGACTCAAGTTATAAATCCTACCCAGAATTATTTTCGAACCTACCTCATCGCTCGCAAACACTACAAACACTACTCGCTAATGGAAAAGCAAACTTGAAGCCAAAATTCATATACTTCCATTAACAAAACAATTAAATTCTATATGAATCGATAATATCGTCGATAAATAAAAAAATAAAGTCTCAGTTAATAACTCGAATATACATATTTTTTGGAAAATTAATAAACCACTGTTCCAACCAATCACAGGTATTTGCGGAAGCACCTCCATGATCAAAATTTTAAACCATCAGCATCAAACGCCAACTCTAATTGAAAAACCAAACCTCGGCCTAAAATTGAAATATTTTCCACAATTAAACAACTAAATACAATAAACTCGCAATAAATTTATAATTACTCTCATACAGAAAAGTAATATTTCAAATTCACAGCTTGAAAATAAAAACAATTTCTGAGAAATTAATAAACCACTATACAAATGAACCCCGTTTACGAAACCACCTGACCCACTAAAATTTCGAACATATTCTGGATCGTTCTCGGGACCCACCCTCTACCGAACGCCACCCTTAATGGAAAGGCAAACCGTAAAATCCCTATTAAACTTCCAAGCGAACTCTGATCCTTAGAATATCTTTTCGTGGAATAACGAACCGTGACAGGGATTACTCCTATGGAACGAAAAGCCATAGAACAAGCAGGGTCCGGCCGCCATTACCATCACCAGCGGCGAATAAAACCGTTTCCTCTGCTCGAAGCAACCGTGTAATCATGGCCACACCTGCGATTCCTTCGTCGACCGACTTGGAGAACGTTTTC